GACAAGATTCCGCGATAGCGGTCTCGTGCTTTGGGATGGGTTATGCAAGAGGTATACTACAATAAACAGGCGCTTCGTCTTTGGGATACCATTACAAAGGATTATAGATGCATATAGGTATGTGGCATCCCATGTTATCGCGAAAAGCGCAGTTCTCAGCTACGGCACCTCATCTCGCGTTATCTATCGATAATTCCGGTCCAACCACTCCGGTTGATGTCAAGCGTGCATGAGTGTATTATTGGTATGCTATTTCCGGATCCGATGTCCCCTTGCATGCAATTATTCCGCCCAGGAATCGTTACCCGTCAGGCAGCCAAAGACGATTGGGCAGAGATCGTTGCTGTATCACCCACCATACGCGTACATCTTACAGTACGTTGAGTGATGATGAACTGCTCAATCTCCCGCATGCATGGACAGAACGGTTCAGCCGCAACCATTGGACCTAACACAGCACAGCCATTGATTGCGGCTCCATCCTCGCGTGCACCTCAACGGTCCAGGTCCCCACGTCTATACGATGGTGTATTCTAGAAGCGGTAGCTGAACTGTATACGCAGTAGTGTTATGCAGGCCCTGGGATGGCTTTCGCTTTCCGTGGGGGTGGGAACCCTTCCTACACGCAACCCTACGCCACGAATCAAGGGTATATATGCAGTGAGCCAGGTCCGAAGAGAATTTAGCCTACTGTTTTATCTGTGTCGTCGACTTTTCTCGCCCCCTAGCTTGTGGCCTTGCGAAGTCGTGTCGCATGCTAGCGAGCCTGTTCCGGCTTACTTACCCAAGATCCCATGTCAAAGACGTAGGGTTCAGCTCTTTGCGATCAGGGAAGGCGCTCTATATCGTACCCTATCGTATCATTGCCGCAACCTGCATTGTCTCGGCATTCCCTATCTATCGACCTCGGTACTGGTATTCCTGCATGAGAATTGGGGGGCGATCAATATGTCTTCGAACTGAGAACTTTCTGGCCAGACCCGGCAAGGAGGAGAACACCCGGGTCCCTGCTCGCTGCTTCCGCGCTATCTATCGACAGGCTCGCAGTTGGAAACATGTCCGCGATATTGGCACTAGCTCTCGGGTCGACGGCCACATCGTATCTTGTACTTTTGTGTTTTCCATCCAAGATGATATTGTGTGCACTGTCCAACGTTACGTACTGCAGGTATGATGAGATCCTGGGTGCATGAGGGGGATTTTTCACACGGATATCTATTGCCGAGTCTTCCGTAGTCGTAGCATTAGAACGAACCAATGATGGATAGATGATGCTACCTAATCTACTTCCATTCGGGGACCGGTAATATATCTCATCATCCCTTCACTGCGTGCTGCCTGAGCTCTCTTGGTAGAGGAGTGTCGATCAGGCCCATTTCCGTTCTTCTGCTATTGCCATTGCCTAATACTATACCCCTACTTGTCGATCCCGTATTGCCAGCCCAGCCCTACCGACGATCGCCATGGTGTCGCTCATAAGACCGAGAGCAGGAGACCGAGGGTTGCTTTCCTTTAAGCCGTCTTCGTCTCGTTCCGCCTCGTCTGGTGAATATAGACAGGCAAGTGGGAGTGGGAGTAAGGCTGGAAGTCAAGATGGGAAAACTAAGGGCGAGGGTACTGTGATCAAGCCTTGGGCTGATCAACCCTGGCCACTGATTGAGATGCCGTCAACTACACAACATGTGCGTGTATATCTTCTTGTCGTGCTACTTTTATTTGAATTTTTAGAGACTGGTTTGCTTCGTATGGAGAGAACAGACTTACCTGTCTACCCCCTAATTTCTTCAATATTATCTTATTAAAGATTTTCATTTTTTCATGCCAAAGGGCCCAAATCCAGCGTCGTATCTTTAAATATGTTATAAAAGACGACTAGATAGGTAGCTAACGAAGAGCCTTACAGATCACTCACCCAGCCCTGCACATCGCCAATGAGCTCTCGCATATCCACAACGCCATGTTGCGCGGGCTTAATGCGATATACCTTCAGGCACCACACGTACAACAAGCTCGGGACATAGCGGACCTGTTGTTTCTCACACAGAGCTGGAGTACCTGGCTACTAGACCACCACCATCTCAAAGAAAGCATCATGCTTTCCGGGTTCGAAGCTGTCTTGAGTGTGCCCACAGGCACGTTAACATTACCTAGTCTTCGAAGTCCATCCGCCGCCTCTGTTCATTCAGAGAGAGATATAGCAACAACAATGAAAGGCAAAGATAAAGATGTTTATGGAGAGGAGGAGGAACAAGAGGACACGATATCCTTCCTCTTACACCGCGTCTACGCATATGCCTCTGCCACGCACAAGGACCCGCAGGCGTACAACGCGAGGACACTAGAGGGACTCCTCGTTGCTCTCGCCGAGACCCTCGTGCCCCATCTCACGAGACAAATCGGACTTCTCGCCTCAATGCGGGATATGTGTCTCGGCTCCTCGCCCGGGGGTAACGATCTAAAGAGAGACGAAGAGATCCCCGGTCCACTGCCTATCCCAATGGTCAAGATCACAAAGACGACATCATCTTCGTCTTCGTCTTCAAAAATACCGCCTTCGTCCCCTCCATCTACATCACCACCCGCCTCGCCCTCCTCACCCACATTCTCACTCCGCTCAGCTCCTCCCACGCCCACATCCCCAGGTTCGTCCCCGACACACTCCCCACCCAGCGTCTCGCTCTCCTTATTCCCCTCCACCACGCTCTCGCGACCCCCACACCACGGCAAGACCGGCAGCAGCGGCAGCGGCACCATCAACAGCAATATTAATAACAATAACAACAACAACAACAATAATAATAATAATAATAAGACCAAAAACAAACCCCACAACGACGGCGGCGAACCCGGCGAACATAATAACCCGGCGTCCAGAACCCTGGACCCGATCGACAGAGAAGCCAAGCACCGCCTGGCGCGCGCCCGCGCCCTCCTCGAGGCCGACGACCGCGCCAACAAGCTGACGCAGGTGCACGCGGCGGCGGACGCGCAGGCGGCGGCGGGACTGGACCACTTCGTGATCCTGCCCATGATCGTGCGGCTGCGCGACGTCACTGTCTCCTCCTATTCCTCCTCCTCCTCGTCTTCCTCGTATTCTTCTTCCTTCTCCCCGTCCTCCTTCTCCCCCTCATACCCCTCATACCCCTCATATCCCACCCCAACCCCGTCATTATCGCGCATGCCGTCTTCCTCGTCGTTGTCTTCGGTGGGTAGCAGGAGTACGGGCATGGGTGGAATAGGGATAGGGGGGGTAGGAGTAGGAGTAGGCGGGGGAGGGGGAGGGGGAGGGGGAGGTGTGGGAGGAGTGGGAGGAGGGAATAAGGGCGATTGGCCGAGATTGTCCGTTCCGGCTGTTCATGCCATCGCTGATAAACTCTCGCCGCGACACGCGGGTGCTTGGAGGTTCTTGCCGTGTGATGTCTGGGGACGGCCTAGGGAGTTGCCGTTTTTGGGGTCGTGAAATGGGATTTGTGGATCGATTAGGGAGGAATCGAGGGAGGGATGGAGGGATGGAGTGTAGATGGCGATAGTGAGTGAGTGAGTGGTATGTAGCCAGGCATGTATTTTTACGGTTGTAGGGTAAGGGATGTGGGTAGGGAGTTGGGAGTTGGGAGTTCATGCTTGATAGGTATATACTTGAGACTGAGAACTCTTACCTGTTAGGTGGCTGTCGACCAATGGGATACATGGTAAGCAGGTACCTACTTGTCGTTGCTTTTTGTGTCTATTTGTTATGAAAAGCTTAACTACACGAATTACTATTATGTTCCCATATGCGTGTTTCACGATAAATGATTTCTTCATAACAGAAAAAATGGTTTGGTTTACTGTTAGCATGGGACCAGCCACTGAGGAGTTATGAAATGCTTGCGTGATAATATCTACCTAGGTATATTCACGACATGCCTATACCTTAACTCTCTCTAGGAGGGAGTGTCTTCATAGTAGCCTCTATCTCAATGATGTGCAGGCTAATTCGACTCAGCATCATACCCGAGGTACCTCTCTATTCGAAGCTACGTATATTCTGCAGGACTCGTCGATATCTATGAAGTGCACCACCAGCTCGTAAAATCGAAAGGGTCTAGAAGTTGCGAGTTTTTCCTAGCACGGAGTCGACGGCTACTATTGTAAGCAGGAGCAGATACGCACTATGCTAACCATTTCTGGGACAGCAGCTATAGCCGTAGTGAATGGTCGCGATGGTAATAGATCTTTTCATGGCTTTTATAATCAGCATAGGATTTTTCAGTCAAGTTTATATAGGGTAGATTGTTTTTCCTAGTATTGGATATAGTTAGGCTTTAAACCGCACTGCATGTATTCCAGCTATGACCGTTACGATGGTACGGGCTACATAGTCGAAACAGCGATACTTCGGATAATGAGGGACTTGATGGGGTGAGTATTAAGGTATTTTAAAGCTTGAATGAGTACAAGGACGGCATTTCAGACAAGCTGTATGACATGTAGTTGAATACCTATACTTACCTACCTAAGGTAGCTGAGTACAATCTGCGTAATCAAATGAGGCAGAGGAAGCGACCCCTCACGAGTATCCTGAGGTAGTAACAATACATTTCATTACGTATTTTGAAGGGAGAATGAAGCCTTTAGGGGAAAACGAGTTAAAAGTGAACAATGAATTAATGCGCGTGGCTTTATCACAGTTTTGAAAAGGAGGGCAAAGAAAAGGGGAAAATTAATAGAGAACTTTCGAAGAACTCTGGGCTGGTCACCTCTATAAGTGGCCTATGCCCTACGCGCACTCCTACATGTATATTTGCCTTCTGTTAAGATTGCTAGCCTCATCCAATTTACGTCTTGGTTTGAGTACTCTTCAGCTAAGTACTTTATCAAAAAAGATTTTTAGAAAAAAAAATAGAAAAAAGAAACAAGAAAAATTTGGGTTGCTACTCCCAGTCAGCTGGGAGGCATCAGGAATTGAGCCCGATGCGGGGGTCGAACCTATGTTGCTGTCAGTACTAGTCTGACCTCCGAATCAGAGGCAGGGTAAACTCACCCGCAACCTTGAGATTAAGAGTCTCACGCTCTACCGATTGAGCTAACCGGGCCGTGTTGTTGGTTGTCTTTTGATGATGTTGCGCTTTGCAAAGTGCGGTATTATCCTGTCTACTCGGTCTAAGATAAATTTTCCCCGGTATCCTATATCGAATTTTTTTACCCCGCGGTCCCGCTACATTCTTCTATTTGCACTTAATTGAAGCCTCCTCTCCAGTAATAGCATTCGGTTATTCGTAACGGAAGACAAAGTAGAGGCATGGGAGGCATGAAGTAAAGACTGTTCATACAAGGAAAGCTGTAATACATTAATCTAAAGATATTGAAAGAAAACTTCCTCGCATTATCTCCTACCATGAATTAAGAGGGCATTAAAGTCCTGAATATTTAGGATGCAGCCATCCCTCCCCAACCCGGAATGCGAACATCAATCAATGACAGCGCGTGGGTAAGACATGTCCATCAATTACCAATCTGAATTCCAGCACCACGAGTGCGGTACTAGCTAGTCCGCCTTATCGTCAGCGCAGATAGGCGTATCTATTTTATAACTAGCACATGTAGATCAGGTGGAATTGTGAGACCTCTTCGCTGGATATAGAGTAAATACGTGCCAGTCGCGTCCGAGGGGGACAAGAGAGACACTCAGAAACGGGTAAAGTGGAGGAGGGGCGTCTCGAGTGGCTTTTACTTACTGTATTGCATTGCTAAGTTGCAATGCAGTGCCTCTAGCAACGGGATAGCGCGTACGTAGATAGATAGATCATGGAAGCACAGATGGAAGGGATGGAAGGCGGTCGACCTAGTCGAGGTCGTCGCGTCCTAGTGATGTCGAGACTCGTGCTCTCCGTCGCGCGCGAAGCTTTCAACTATGATATTCTTCCCCAGTCAGTTGTAGATCAGTTCACGATACGCATGCGGAAAATAGTTGTTTGTTGGTATGCGAAGACGAACAACCAGCGCATAGGACTGCATCACAGATCCAGAAACCCTCGATGAATAGTCGACTAGTGCGATTGATGTTCTCATGAGAAAAAGTATACTCGCTACTCCCGCTGTTGTCGTCGAGTTTCTCTTTTACGATGATGGTGACGCGGCGGCGGGCGAGTCCCCGTCGCGGCAAGGTCATCACGAGTTCACAGCGGCACTTACAGCCGTTCTTCTCCGTTCAACTCACGATCCTACTACTAAACCTCACGCGCCCGGTATTCGGCACGCCAGTTTCGTACTTCCCCTTCAACTCACAACTTCCGCCCGTGGCACGAGTCTCAGAACCATTCTCATTCGCTTTCTCCCCCCTGACATTCTCGTCTCACGAGGAGATGAGCTACGTGTTGGCAGACGGTTCACCCTCATGGCTCTCACTCGACAGTGCGTCGCGAACACTCTCGGGCATTCCGGACGAAGCAACGATACCATCGGGCGAGACGCTGGTCGGCGTCATAATCACGCTCATAGCAAGCGACAACACGGGCTCGACGGCCGCGAATGCCACGCTCGTCGTGTCGCACAATCCGGAACCCACTGTGAGAATCCCCCTTTTGGACCAAATCAAGAAATTCGGTCCGTACTCTGCACCTGCGTCTATATTGCTTCGCCCGTCAAGCGAGTTCAAGTTTGAATTTGATCCGCATACTTTTGGCGCCGGCATCGCAGGAAAGGAGAATAGCCAGGTCACTGCCGACGGCAGGAAAAGTAGGGTCCAAGATATAAAAAGAAAAACAGATGGAGCGATGAGTGGAACAGAGCTACCACAACTGAGTTACTACGCAGTGTCAGGCAACAATGCGCCCCTCCCATCCTGGATTGCATTTGACGCGGAAAATCTCGCTTTCTCGGGCAAAACACCACTCTCTGAGGTCTTTGCACAACCTCCTCAGAGATTTGACTTCCAGCTGGTAGCTTCGGATGTTGTTGGGTTTTCATCGGTCTCTATCGAATTCTCAATCATGGTGGGTAACCACGAGCTTACCAGCGAGGAGCCGATCATTAGGCTCAACGCCATGAGGGGTACGCCGCTCGAGTATACAGACTTGTCTAAAGTCTTGAAGCTAGACGATAAACCTATTAACCCAGAAGATGTTTCTTCTATAAAAGCGGATGGGTTGCCAGGGTGGCTCTCTTTTGACGAGGAATCGTGGAAGATCAGCGGGACGCCGGATCTGGGAGCACAGCCGATCGACGTCACGATTGCAGTTGTGGATAAATTTTCAGATGCTTTGAACGTCACTTTGGCAATAGAATTCGACAAGAAAATATTCGTGTCCGATCTCCCTGGTCTTAACGTGTCAGTTGGGGACGATTTCTCGATTGATCTTAAGAAGTTCCTCTTCGCTCCCAAGGATACGCAATTAGTGGCGAAAACAGAGCCTGATGACTCCTGGATTCGATTCGACGATTCGTCCAAGATACTCTCTGGAACAGTACCTAAGCCTTTCAACACCAAATTTGCTACTGAAATTCGAATCAGCTTCAATGCGACCCAAAAGGGTACGGAAGAGAAAGAGACGAAGGATATGAATATTCATGTGAACAAGCCAATTGGCACGGCCGAGCTTCCTCCCGCGAGAGGTCCTAGCAAGGGAGATGACTCACGTAGGGACCTATACTGGCTCCTCATAATTCCGGTCATGCTCATTGCGGTTATTATCATCCTATCGATCTTCATGGTGCGGAAACGACGGCACCAGCCGAGAAAGCTCGACTTCTCCGAGGTATCGGGGCCTGTCCCAGGCACTTTTGTGGCAAACGGGTACATGGATCCCTCGTTAGATGAGATACGGAGGATGGTAGATACAGGGCCGCAGGCGCCATATATACGACCTTATGTGCCACCAGCTCCTTCAAATCCTCAAACCCTACAGGCAACAGGGAGCCCGAGAATTGAAGTAGACCATGTTATTCCACAAGCCACAGCTAGGTATTCAGGGGCGAATAAGTCTACATACCAAGGTAATCACAGCAGAGATTCCGGGTTAGGTGGTCAACGCTCTCGGCCATCTCCTACCGGCACGGATGAAGTTAGTTTACTATCCAACAAAAGTCGTGAGCGAGAAATGCACGATGTCCAAAGCCTCTTTATAAAGAAACGAAGGCCGGGAGGAAATGTACATGAGAAGAAGATTGGCCTTCAGGTTCCAGAGGTTGCCGAACCGTTCAGTATACAGCCAACTCCCGATCTTGCTTACACAGCGACGGGAAGGTACGATTACGTTTCCGATGAAGAGACACCACCTGCTACTGGTTCTGCGGAGCGGCAAAGATCAGGTCACCAACAGAACACAAGCTTCAGCCTTCATGGAGCGCATAACAGGCTCTCCAAAGCCTGGAAACGCTTGAGTGTCTCTAAATCAGGGGACACAAAACGGCATAGCCAACATAGTGCATCGACAGATGTTACAACTTGTACAAGTATCCTCACCTCTGGGATCACTGAAGAAGCGACTACAGCGAGCGCAAATGTCGTAGCAAGACCGACAATAATCCACATACCTGGTAGGCCTGGGGAGGCGCGACAACTAAGTAGAAGAACGGGTGGTTCAACAACATTCTTTGCTGGCGGGTCCGTCACAAAGTCTCAACGGAACTTTGGACTGGACAGGGACACGATGTCGGTGTCGGCATATTCTCCTAAGAAAGATATGGGACCTCCCGCTGCGTCCAAAGAGCAAGAGGTAGCTCTGGACGGTGATACGACGTGGGATCACCTAGCAAGTACTCCTCTAGGTATCGCCTATAGAGAAATGGTTCCAACAAAATGGACCAGAGATGAGAACTGGAATACCGGCGTCACAACTGAAGAATTGATGTCTCCGGATCGGTGGCCTAAACCAGGTGTAACCCCAGTCACGGTAGGCACAACCGATGTATTCCGGGGTCAAAGCGAGCCACCTCAGCTTCCGTATTTCAAGCTACCCGCCAAGGTTGAGCCACCAGTAACACCCATGGGTAAAGGAAAGAAAAGATTTAGCCCAATGCGCAGGCTGAGTCGGATCCGCGGCTCCATATCGACGCTTTCGCAAACGCCATTTACACATACACGCAGCAAAGGACGATCTTCGCGCGAGGAGCGCTTACGTATAAGCCGCATCCGAGAGCAAAAAGCGCTTGATGAATTTCGAGCCATGATGTCACATACACCCTCACCTCACAATGAACGGGGTCCACCAAGGGTTAGACCATTACCAGACACACCATCAAGGACAAGTAGACCGCCACCGACTGATCACTTGGGTGAACCAAGAGGCCTTAGGAGCACAGCCTCGAAGCGGAGCGTGAAGACATTGCGTAGTAACAAGAGTGTGCGGAGTACGCGGGCAGATGACGATGACGATGACGATGCCTGGGAGGACATACCGCCTCCCGAGTCGGTAATATTTGGATGGGAAGGGGAGGGAAGTGATGGAAGTTTTCCCGTTTATATCTGAGATGCACGATCATGAACTGTGAGACCGGTCTGTTTGTAATACCGGATCTTATTAACCTGGCTAGCAAGCTCAAGTTTGAATGCGAGCCTCTCCAGAAGCACTTGCAACGTGGTTGACTGTGACTACCAAATCATTTCATGCATTTTGACTGTGAATGTTGGTAAACAATTAGAAAGAACAAGAAATGGGATTAAGAAGCAAATCAACATAAAGTAAAACAGTGTTCGGTGAAATTCAGTTGCATGATAGAAACACAGTATGAGTTGTCTCACTCAGCGTGTTATTATGTGGTAATTTCTTCAGGGCAGCTTTTCAGGTGGGAGAATCGTGATCCTGGACAGATCCTGGGCAGATCCTTGATAGATCCTGGGGGCCGTGGTGGTGGTGGTGCAGGTCACGGGATGGTAGAAAGCCGCAGCAACCCCAGACATAGAGCATGGGTAGGTAGGAATCGTTGGATGGCATCGGCATGACCGGCTCGGTCCAGCCACAGTTCCAGGCCACAGAGTGGTTCGGACCGTTCGCACCGCACTCTTGTTGAGCGTTCACCGCTTCAGGTCTGTGGTCTGTCGACGCCTTTCAAGCGGCTAACTCAGCATCATGCAGCGGGATGGACCGTCTGGCTC